TTTAAATTTTTTAGCGATAATGCCACTGTTATCACTTTAATTGTATTTTAAATGCAGTTGTCTGACACAAGACGCTAATGAAGAATCTGTGTTGTGTAAATTTTGAGGATTCGCTCGCTGTTAACGGTGCCGAACATGCACTGAATCTGTACATGAGTTTACACGGTGAAACTACTGTTCATGTCCTGATGCACATTTTAGTAAACTTGTAGAATTTGGCTAATTGTTTACTGCATGTTGAACATGTACTTCACTCAGAGCAAAAACAAGTCAGGTTCACTCTATGATTTGTGACATGAACCATCTATATTAAGTTATATTTTAAAACGCAAGACAATGACTTTAACTAGCACAGTATGTTATTTAGTTGTCACTTGCCTTTATGCTGTTACCACATCTTGTATGTTTTCGACTCCGAAATGAAAACATGTTGTGTGCCTGCTGTTGGGTTACACTGAACTCATCTCATAAAATGTTGATTAGTCACATGTGGAAAAAGTTTTATCTTGATGGGTGAGTTGTTTTATGTTTCTTCCTGGTGGGATTCATGGTTCTAATAAAATATTTTAAAAGTACTTATGTTGCTTTGCTTGAGATGCTGCCATAATGTTGTACACATACAAGCATTTGTTCATTTGAACACCCTTTATGGACTTGTGTCTGGAAATGTTACTCAATTAGCAAAGACATCCATCCATCCATTTTCATCCGCTTATCTGGGGCTGGGTCGCAGGAGCAGCAGGCCAAGCAAAGCATCCCAGACATCTTTTCTTAGCAACGCTTTCCAGCTCCTCCTGGGGGACCCCAAGGTGTTCCCAGGCCAGATGAGATGTTATCCCTCCAGTGTGTTCTGGGTCTACCATGGGGCCTCCTACCAGTGGGACGTGAAAAGTGTTTTGGGCCCATTGGCATCACATGACATACCTGCATGTTGCAGTTACAGTTTGACCACTGTGTCAAATTCGCTTCAAGGTCCTGCACACTTCCTGGACGCTTGAGAGGGGTCTCCTCCCACGGAGTCCGCCATGTTGTTCTATAGTAGCCTTAACCGAACAAATCAAACACTCAATGCTTTTCAAAATCAAGGATATTTCTTTTTACTCGATTACACGCTACTCAGCAACAGTTACTATACTAGATGTTTATCAGATAGCGCTGTCGCAAAATTTAAGGAAAAGATTACTTCGTCGTTAAATTCAATACCAAGTCCCTCAGTAACAGAGGTTTCCTGTACCAACTTTGATCATTTTGTCGATAGTGCCGTAGGCTCGCTGCGAACAACACTTGACTCTGTAGCTCCTCTTAAAAAGAAGTTAAAAAAGCAAACAAAGTTCGCTCCTTGGTATAACTCTCAAACCCGTAAGTTAAAACAAATATCGCGAAAATTTGAAAGGAATTGGCGATT